CTCTGACTAGGTTCTATGGTTTGACAACAGTACAAATAACCACTGACTAGGTTCTATGGTTTGACCACAGTACAAATAACCTCTGACTAGGTTCTATGGTTTGACTACAGTACAAATAACCTCTGACTAAGTTCTATGGTTTGACAACAGTACAAATAACCTCTGACTAGGTTCTATGGTTTGACTACAGTACAAATAACCACTGACTAGGTTCTATGGTTTGACAACAGTACAAATAACCTCTGACTAGGTTCTATGGTTTGACTACAGTACAAATAACCACTGACTAGGTTCTATGGTTTGACCACAGTACAACCACTGACTAGGTTCTATGGTTTGACCACAGTACAAATAACCTCTGACTAGGTTCTATGGTTTGACCACAGTACAAATAACCTCTGACTAGGTTCTATGGTTTGACAACAGTACAAATAACCACCGACTAGGTTCTATGGTTTGACAACAGTACAAATAACCTCTCTGACTAGGTTCTATGGTTTGACAACAGTACAAATAACCTCTGACTAGGTTCTATGGTTTGACAACAGTACAAATAACCTCTGACTAGGTTCTATGGTTTGACAACAGTACAAATAACCTCTGAATAGGTTCTATGGTTTGACAACAGTACAAATAACCTCTGACTAGGTTCTATGGTTTGACAAATAACCTCTGACTAGGTTCTATGGTTTGACAACAGTACAAATAACCTCTGACTAGGTTCTATGGTTTGACAACAGTACAAATAACCTCTGACTAGGTTCTATGGTTTGACAACAGTACAAATAACCTCTGACTAGGTTCTATGGTTTGACAACAGTACAAATAACCTCTGACTAGGTTCTATGGTTTGACAACAGTACAAATAACCTCTGACTAGGTTGTTCTATGGTTTGACAACAGTACAAATAACCTCTGACTAGGTTCTATGGTTTGACTACAGTACAAAAAACCTCTGACTAGGTTGTTCTATGGTTTGACTACAGTACAAATAACCACTGACTAGGTTCTATGGTTTGACAACAGTACAAATAACCTCTGACTAGGTTCTATGGTTTGACAACAGTACAAATAACCACTGACTAGGTTCTATGGTTTGACAACAGTACAAATAACCACTGACTAGGTTCTATGGGTTGACTACAGTACAAATAACCTCTGACTAGGTTCTATGGTTTGACTACAGTACAAATAACCACTGACTAGGTCTTGGGTTTGACAACAGTACAAATAACCACTGACTAGGTTCTATGGTTTGACAACAGTACAAATAACCTCTGACTAGGTTCTATGGTTTGACAACAGTACAAATAACCACTGACTAGGTTCTATGGTTATGGTTTGACTACAGTACAAATAACCACTGACTAGGTTCTATGGTTTGACTACAGTACAAATAACCTCTGACTAGGTTCTATGGTTTGACAACAGTACAAATAACCACTGACTAGGTTCTATGGTTTGACAACAGTACAAATAACCACTGACTAGGTTCTATGGTTTGACAACAGTACAAATAACCTCTGACTAGGTTCTATGGTTTGACTACAGTACAAATAACCTCACTGACTAGGTTCTATGGTTTGACTACAGTACAAATAACCACTGACTAGGTTCTATGGTTTGACTACAGTACAAATAACCTCTGACTAGGTTCTATGGTTTGACAAATAACCTCTGACTAGGTTCTATGGTTTGACAACAGTACAAATAACCTCTGACTAGGTTCTATGGTTTGACAACAGTACAAATAACCACTGACTAGGTTCTATGGTTTGACAACAGTACAAATAACCACTGACTAGGTTCTATGGTTTGACAACAGTACAAATAACCTCTGACTAGGTTCTATGGTTTGACTACAGTACAAATAACCACTGACTAGGTTCTATGGTTTGACTACAGTACAAATAACCTCTGACTAGGTTCTATGGTTTGACAACATTACAAATAACCACTGACTAGGTTCTATGGTTTGACAACAGTACAAATAACCACTGACTAGGTTCTATGGTTTGACAACAGTACAAATAACCTCTGACTAGGTTCTATGGTTTGACTACAGTACAAATAACCTCACTGACTAGGTTCTATGGTTTGACTACAGTACAAATAACCACTGACTAGGTTCTATGGTTTGACTACAGTACAAATAACCTCTGACTAGGTTCTATGGTTTGACTACAGTACAAATAACCTCTGACTAGGTTCTATGGTTTGACAAATAACCTCTGACTAGGTTCTATGGTTTGACAACAGTACAAATAACCTCTGACTAGGTTCTATGGTTTGACAACAGTACAAATAACCTCTGACTAGGTTCTATGGTTTGACAACAGTACAAATAACCTCTGACTAGGTTCTATGGTTTGACAACAGTACAAATAACCTCTGACTAGGTTCTATGGTTTGACAACAGTACAAATAACCTCTGACTAGGTTCTATGGTTTGACTACAGTACAAATAACCTCTGACTAGGTTCTATGGTTTGACTACAGTACAAAAAACCTCTGACTAGGTTGTTCTATGGTTTGACTACAGTACAAATAACCACTGACTAGGTTCTATGGTTTGACTACAGTACAAATAACCACTGACTAGGTTCTATGGTTTGACAACAGTACAAATAACCTCTGACTAGGTTTTATGGTTTGACAACAATACAAATAACCTCTGACTAGGTTCTATGGTTTGACAACAGTACAAATAACCACTGACTAGGTTCTATGGTTTGACAACAGTACAAATAACCTCTGACTAGGTTCTATGGTTTGACAACAGTACAAATAACCTCTGACTAGGTTCTATGGTTTGACTACAGTACAAATAACCTCTGACTAGGTTCTATGGTTTGACTACAGTACAAATAACCTCTGACTAGGTTCTATGGTTTGACTACAGTACAAATAACCTCTGACTAGGTTCTATGGTTTGACTACAGTACAAATAACCACTGACTAGGTTCTATGGTTTGACAACAGTACAAATAACCTCTGACTAGGTTCTATGGTTTGACAACAGTACAAATAACCTCTGACTAGGTTCTATGGTTTTGACAACAGTACAAATAACCTCTGACTAGGTTCTATGGTTTGACAACAGTACAAATAACCTCTGACTAGGTTTTATGGTTTGACTACAGTACAAATAACCACTGACTAGGTTCTATGGTTTTGACAACAGTACAAATAACCTCTGACTAGGTTCTATGGTTTGACTACAGTACAAATAACCTCTGACTAGGTTCTATGGTTTGACTACAGTACAAATAACCACTGACTAGGTTCTATGGTTTGACTACAGTACAAATAACCACTAACTTGGTTCTATGGTTTGACTACAGTACAAATAACCACTGACTAGGTTCTATGGTTTGACAACAGTACAAATAACCTCTGACTAGGTTCTATGGTTTGACTACAGTACAAATAACCTCTGACTAGGTTCTATGGTTTGACTACAGTACAAATAACCTCTGACTAGGTTCTATGGTTTGACTACAGTACAAATAACCTCTGACTAGGTTCTATGGTTTGACTACAGTACAAATAACCACTGACTTGGTTCTATGGTTTGACTACAGTACAAATAACCACTGACTAGGTTCTATGGTTTGAATACAGTACAAATAACCTCTGACTAGGTTCTATGGTTTGACTACAGTACAAATAACCTCACTGACTAGGTTCTATGGTTTGACTACAGTACAAATAACCACTGACTAGGTTCTATGGTTTGACTACAGTACAAATAACCTCTGATTAGGTTCTTTGGTTTGACAACAGTACAAATAAGCTCTGACTAGGTTTTATGGTTTGACAACAGTACAAATAACCACTGACTAGGTTCTATGGTTTGACAACAGTACAAATAACCTCTGACTAGGTTCTATGGTTTGACAACAGTACAAATAACCTCTGATAAGGTTCTATGGTTTGACTACAGTACAAAGATTTATTTAGATTTCAGAAGGAACCATAGGAATAAAACATACTCCTGTACAGTGCGAAATGTGCTATTATCCATATTTGATTTGGTCATTTTTATTGACTGTCTAAATTATTAACATGGGTATTGGCTTAAAGAATACTTAGCAGATATATGGACTTTCCATTTTAATGATTCTTTGGAAAATATTGGTTAAGTTCAAGATATGACCATAGTAAAAAGCATTAGTATCTAATGCTGTCAGATATGACTCCTATATAGATATTTATGGTTGCAGTAGTTTACTAGACTTGTAAAAATTATAAAGTTCCAGCTAATGGCCCTAATATTGTGTAGAGATGCCTGACTGCAGTGTATGTCATTGTTTACTGTTTTTAAAATTATTGGGATGATGATGTTTTCTTAGAACATTTCTAATGGGATATTTCTATATTGGCTCATTGTATACCCATTAACAAGGATATCACACACAAATAAGGAAAAAAATGACAGAGACAAATTCAGTAATTTTAATTGTAAATTTCTGATAACATTGTTGCATAAAATTAAAAGAAATTTTGTAGATGTTTTTAACATGTAGAGGTTTTAAATGCAATCCTGTGTGTTAAAATTTAATGATTACATTTTAAATCCCAAAACAAAAAAGTTGTTGTTGATTTAATGAGATGTTAAACAATTTATCCTTTGTGGACATGCTTTATTGAAAGGCTTTATTGTTACTGTACTGGCAGTGAAAAGTTTGAATTATTTAATACACAATTGTTTGTTGAGACTGATGGAAATATAAAGACTCACCCACTGTGAATTTTTATTAAAGAATTTTTTACAATGGTTTGCTGTTTCTATTTCATTTTATATTTTATGAGGTATCTTAAGGTCTCATTTGGTTTTAGTAAATATTTGAGGAAAAATATAATGATATTTTGACATACAATGAATAAAGATTATTTTCAAAGTTACCATTTAATTTACATCTTTATCATTTTACAGACATTTTTAATTGCTTGAAGACCTTTATTTACCCTTTTATATTTTGTGTACAGTTTTCACTTTTAACAAGTGACCATTGTATAACAATTATTGATAGCTTTTCATGGATTCTTTCTAATAATTTGTGAGTATGTTTAAAGATAAGGTTTCTACATATTGACCAACATGACCAAGTAAACTAAATGTGCTATTAATAATGGCCTGAGAAGTGGAAAAACTTAATAACGGTACATTTTCTTTCCTGTCTTGTGTTATATTTATTTGTCTTCATTGTATATTTCTTGAGAGCAGTCAAATTTCTGTTTTGCAGATACCCTGAAATTTAAATACACCAAAATTCTTTGATATTGGTATTTATATATTGTTTGACATTTGATTAGAAATTTGCTAATGTTGAGTTTTGTATCCTTTTACAAAAATTATAGCTTTTATAAGTTAGAATTTTGTGACCCCTGCTACTTTAGGACTCATTTGACCCTTGCTGTGTGTATATCTATTAAGCTGGATGGCCAGTACTAGTTGGAACTAGGAAATCAAGATGATTGCTTGACTTTTTTTGTCATGTTTGTTGCAGAGGACACAGCATTTGACAGTATAACCCTTGATTAAGATTTGTATTATTCAGTATGTGCTATGATTTTCTTTTTTTTTAATTTTACTGATAAACCAGGTAGTAATTTATTGCTCAGAAAAACTTTGTTTGGATTAATAAATAATAATTGTCCATTGTTGAGTGAGCCATCCAGCACCAATGTGAACACTGATGTTTAAGAACCCTTATAATTATAACAACTCTCAATAGTGTGTGATCTACAGAATAGCTTTTTTTCTTGTCCTACCCAATTTAACCCTCAAATGTTGAAATAATGACTGTCACAAAATTTTATATAAAATTCTCAAAGAATTCATGGTACCATTGAAGTCTTTTTTAATTGCTATCCAATTTTCTAGTTATATAAGGTTATGAGACAGTTAATCAATCAATCATAGATAAAAGGTTCAACAGAATAGGATTAAAACTTCTTAGATTGAATATATTGTATTAAAATGATGTAATACTATATATCAAAAATCAAAAGTCAATAGGTCTATAAACTGTAGAGATCTTGTACAAGAAAAAATGTAGAAAAAGCTTCTTCATCTAAGTACTGCTTGATCAAATTTAACAGAACGATTCCTTATGAGGTTCTTACTAAGTCGGGGGCGGATCCAGCCATTTTTGTCGAGCCTGCGACTTTTGTCGCAGAAAGCTCGACATAGGGATAGTGATCCGGCGGCGGCGTTAGCTAACTTCTTAAAAGCTTTATATTTTAGAAGATGGAAGACCTGGATGCTTCATACTTTGTATATGGATGCCTCATGTTATGAAGTTTCCGTCAGTCACATGTCCAATGTCCTTGACCTCATTTTCATGGTTCAGTGACTACTTGAAAAAAAAGTTCAGATTTTTTGTAATGTTAAATTCCCTCTTATTATAAGTAATAGGATAACTATATTTGGTATGTGCGTACCTTGCAAGGTCCTCATGCCCGTCAGACAGTTTTCACTTGACCTCGACCTCATTTCATGGATCAGTGAACAAGGTTAAGTTTTGGTGGTCAAGTCCATATCTCAGATACTATAAGCAAGGACTGTAAGGTGTACATGTCCAACTGGCAGGTGTCATCTGACCTTGACCTCATTTTCATGGTTCAGTGGTTATAGTTAAGTTTTTGTGTTTTGGTCTGTTTTTCTTATACTGTATGCAATAGGTCTACTATATTTGGTGTATGGAATGATTGTAAGGTGTACATGTCTAGCTGGCAGGTGTCATCTGACCTTGACCTCATTTTCATGGTTCAGTGGTCAAAGTTAAGTTTTTGAGTTTTGGTCTTTCTTTCTAATACTGCATGCAATAGGTCAGCTATATTTGGTGTATGGAATGATTGTAAGGTGTACATGTCTAGCTGGCAGGTGTCATCTTACCTTGACCTCATTTTCATGGTTCAGTGGTCAAAGTTAAGTTTTTGAGTTTTGGTCTTTTTTTCTAATGCTATAAGCAATAGTTCAACTATATTTGGTGTATGGAAATATTTTATGATCTATATGTCAGTTACGCAGGTTTTATTTGACCTTGACCTCATTTTCAAGGTTCATTGCTCAGTGTTAAGTTTTTGTGTTTTCGTCTGTTTTTCTTATTCTATAAGTAATAGGTCAACTATATTTGTTGTATGGAAGAATTGTTAGCTGTACATGCCTGCCTAGCATGGTTCATCTGACCTTGACCTCATTTTCATGGTTCATTGGTCAATGTTTAGTTTACTTGGTTAATGTTAAGTTTATGTGACAGTTGTAATAAAGCTTTATATTTAGGACTATCAACATAATATCAATGATTAGTAAAGAAGGCGAGACATTTCAGTGTGTGCACTCTTGTTAAAAGGGGGTTTTAATCATATGTCCCCATTCAAAAGCATTGATCCTCAAAAAAAAGTGGGGGTTCCAAAAGGTTCCTTATGATTTACTGACTGGCTGGGAAATTAAATCAAGCAATAAAGCCAAATAAAGCAAGTAGTTTAGTAACTAGAACTTTGACAAGTGTCATTTCTTGATAGCATGTGAAGTATTTAAAACAGACTGGACAGGACAGGAGAAATAATGCATAATTAAGTGTAGGACAGAGTATAAAGAATGAAGTACATGTAAATTACACAACAACTATTGCCTGTGATTATCTTACAAGCACCTTACAAAATAGTTTCCACATAGAGACAATTTTGATTTGCCAATAATTTTCTTAATAAAGCAGTGAATTGTCTGAATTTAACTTTGATGTGCTATACCGATAGTTATATTCGACTTAATACTTTCTTTTAGTTTTATTGTTAAGCCTAGAAACATTTTCATTCTATAATTATTATTTTTTTGTATTTCAGGGTAGATGAAGAAAAATATGAAACCAGGATAGTTAAAAACAGACAGACATTACAGCAGAAATGCCTCAGATACGGACATTTTGTCGTATCAAGCCAACAGGGGATTACTATCCTGAGTTTGAAGTGTCACATGACACCCTCAGTTTACGAGTACCAGAGCTGTTGAGAGACTACAACAATCCAAAGGCTAACAATAGAACTACGGTACACCATGAGTTCCACTTTAACTACATATTTAAGAATGTGGCTACTCAGGAGGAAGTGTTTGATGTTGCTGCTAAAGATATTGTAGCAGGTATATTTTTTAGAGTCATGAGAAAAAAATATACTAATAACTTCAGGGAAAAAATACATTACTATAAAATAATCTGAAAAGTTCAGTAGTAACTCTGATCCTTGCAGTTCAAAAGGGTTCTGTAGAACTAATACATGTTATTAAGAAGTTACTCATATACAACCCTTCTCCCCCATCAAAAAAATATACTTTCCACATATATTATATATACAAACTTAAAAAACAACAACAAAAAAGCCAGTCTTTGAAGAACAATACTGCAAATTATTAACTTTTATTAGATACAGACAACATCTTCTTTTACAGGTGCCGTAGGAAGGACCATGGCCAATCTTTAACATTTTTAAATGCAAAATTGTACAATATTTATTTGATTAAAAGAAGCCATCTGTTTATTCAAATATTTGTAGGATTTTTGGATGGTTTCAATGGTACAATCTTTGCTTATGGTCAGACTGGTACTGGGAAAACATTTACTGTTGAAGGTTACGGCAAACAGTATGAAATGAGGGGTTTAGAACCCAGGTAAGATATATCATGTTGAATTTTACACAGGAAACAGTTTGTTAAGTTAAAATATATTTAGATAAAGTAGAAGATGACACACACACACATAATATAGAAAAAACTATTATTTCGTACTTGGATGGAAAGTTGTTTCATTGGCACTCATACCACATCTTCTTATATCTACATAAAAATTATATGTATATATAGAAAATCAAACAGGAAGAATAAAGGGACATTGAGGAATTTATCATGCACCAAGTATGCATTAGAGTGCTCATTTTGCAAAATGAAAGAACAACCTTAACTGGCTCTACAGCCCTTACACGGTCTAATTAAATCATCGGAGAGGACGTGATTTGCCAGTTGATATATATATATATTTGAAATTGAAATTTCGTTGAAAAATAATTTTAGGTTATTTTGTAAATGTTAATTTGCTGTCTCAATGACATATAGCCAATATCTCCTTTTTTATACCTTTTTGTAATTTATGCGATCAATTTTTTTCTCAGATATTTTTCATGGCATACATCTGCTTGTTATGGCTGAAAATGAACTGATTTATGATAATTTATAGTGCAATTGTTGCAAAATGGGTTGTAATTCTCCTTTGTATTGACTTTAAGGCAACTTTCAATGATAAACTTCTTTAACTAACACATGCACCCACACACAGTGGTCATACACACACACAGAAAACTAATATCTTTTATTTTGTGTTGAATGACAAATTCCTTATAAACTTTCAAGCATTGCATAACTTGTAAGACCAAAATGTAGGTAAATTCAGTAGAGGTAACTGGCTTAATGGTGTTAACTTTTATATTAAGTTGTGATCCTGAGTATACTGCAACATTTTTTGTGGTGTTTTTGTTTTTGTTTGCATAAACTACCTAAACTTTAAAAAAGAATACTTGCATCCAAAAAGTTGTTACTAGAAATTTGATTAAAAGGACAAAGCAAAAATTAGCAGTTAAAACGAGATATTAAAGAAGAATGTAAAAATTTACAAATAACAAACACACTTATGTAGCAGAAAAAAAGGGTAAATTATGGTTAAATTGTAAAATTATGTTTAATAAATATTATTGCTTCGCATCACGATGCGGAGCTATTAGTTTCAGTCAATATACACGCCATCTTGAAATAATTACTTTTCACATATAGATTTTGATTGGTTGCTTTATGATGCGGCTGAGATACAGCAACAGCTATTGGCCTAAATGAGATAAAGAATTACAGACTTTTCTCGTCTCAGGATAAGACATCAAATGCTGGAAAATTAACTATGTGTATTTCAGTTCCGATCAACTGTCATTAATTCATGTTCGTTTTATTATGCATATATATTGCACACTGAAATTCAATTTTGAAATATCAATTATTAATATGTGTTTATTTGCTTTGTTAATCTGCAATATGCACGATTTGTTTTGCTAAACAATGTTTACAAAAATGCATTATCTGTATTTTATAACTTCTGCCAATCTAGGCACACCTCCAGAGTCATGTCTATTTGTAAATATAAATAAATATAAATATATATACAAAAATTGATATTCCTAGTCTAAGACATCCATTTTATATCAATCAATATCTTAAAATACCACATTTCCAATACTAAACCAACAACCACATGCACACATATATCCTTAAATTAGGATAGAGCGAAGCAGTCCACAGCTTTTTAGAAAGCTCAAACTTGTATGTTTTTAGATCTCTATCCATGATATATAAAGCTTTGGAGAAACGTACAGATGAAGAAATTGATGTGCACATATCTTATATGGAAATATATCAAGAAGTTGGATATGATCTACTGAACCCAAACTACAAACAACAGAATCCAAACACACCATTTCCTAGGGTAATGACATACAAACTTAAACTACTTTTAATTGTATCTGTCTTTAATTGGTTGCTGTCATATTGATGTTTACTTCTCGTTACTTTTTATTCGCTGTTGTTCAGTATGGTTTTTTGTCATCTTTTCTATCTCAAATAAAGTGCAATTTAATATAAAAAAAACACATCTTAAATAATTTTAAAAAGTTCTTAAAAAGTATTGATCATGTTGATATTAGATGAAAATATATATGGTGACAATTTTTCTTAGTTCCAACTGAAAAAATTGCATGAGTAAACATTACAAAATTACGAAAGCAGGTCAAAAACCCCTGGAAAAAAATAAGACAAATGAAAATAGCCAAGTTTATCATCGCATAAAAAAAATCAGTAGTTACTTCCCTCTACACTGTTATCTTTAGTAAGTATTTATTGATAAACATATATAACAGCAGATAAGATTTCTTAGAGGAAATATCATCAGGGGTAACCCCAAAACATCTATTAATATAATAAAAATAGAAGTGATTTGCATGATCAATTCTTCAAGATTGGTCATTTTTAGGCTATAAGCATTGATATATGACAAACTGATTTTGATATCCACACAATCTACTGATGAATGAATCTAAATAAAAGCTTAGAAGCACAGTTTCTTTCCAGAATCAAACTTTTTGAACTCGATCTTTGACTGTTTTGATAGCAAGGATATAAAGACATGTTATTTACCTAATCAATATTTAATTGTGTATTAAAAAATGTTTTTTTTTTATGTCAAACATGCTTGAAATTTATCAAATAATAACATTTGTATGGTTGGAATTGCTAGTTTACTGAAAGAAAAATAAATTATGGTCAAGGGGGAGATAACTCCTATTTTTTTACAAAGCAATGGTAAAGAAAATAGATTACTTCTGTACACTGTTATGAAATACATTTTTTAAATACAAACCATTATATTTAGTTGGAAATTAACACTTAAGAATCCAAGAAGAGATCATAGTTATACACATTTACCATGTTAATTATTTTATTGTATAAATGGACAGAAAAATTATGCTAAAATATACAACTTTAACAATTTGAAGTAAAACAAATTTTTTTCTATAGCTGGAATGTGAATGTGATATCCCACCTGGATTGAATTAAGTCATCTATAGTTTATGATAAATATTGCTTTTATAAGTTATCTTTACTTTATGTTTTGTTTTTTTTCTTCTATGCGGGGATGAAGTTTTAGTTTTGCTTTATCATTAAAGGTAGGGGGCAGGTTTAGTTTGAATATGTAACAAACTGAAGAATTTAAAATTTAATTATATTGATTAGGAAATGATTTAAAACTATGTCAAGAAGTATTTGTCAAAATCAAACCTTAACTGACAGTGTAAATTTAATTAAAAAAACCTTAAGAATTTTGAAAGCTATTGCTTATGGCTTAAGCTTTGTCTATGAGAAAACATGCACAGAAAGAGATTTCCAGTTTTCATTTTATACAGAAAAATTTGACAAGAAGAATATATAGATAAATTTTTAAATTACTGAAGATTTAAATTTTGTTTTGTAATTTACCTGTTATAACTGTGTTGTTGTGTTTTGCTAGGTTCATGTGTTAGAAGGCACAGGTGGAGTCTGGGTTGTAAGAAACCTATCAGTTCATAAGGCTCCTACTGAGGAGATAGCCCAACAACTTTTACAACAAGGTCAGCTTCATCGTAAAGTAGCTGCCACCAGTGTACATGATAGATCGTCACGGTCACATGCTGTGTTTACTATACAAATGACATCGAAGAAACCAGGCTCAGATACTCTACTAAGGTCAGTTAAAGTATTTATAGAATATTTGTCAACAATATACATGTTCTTTTGGGTCTCAATACTTCAGGATAAAGGTTAATTAAAGGAAAGGACTGTATTGGGGTTATAGGTTAAACACAGATTCCTGTATTCAATTCAGTTTTTCTTAAAAATTGTTGCCTCACACTTAGAGTACAAGTCTTCAGGCAATGATAATGTCTTTGATAAGAAAATAAAAAAAAAAATTTGTTCCAAAACAGACTTTATAGGAATTGTTTCAACAAAATATTATCTGTCCAAAGATGACAAATTTTTATGCCCCCACCTACGATAGTAGAGGGGCATTATGTTTTTTGGTCTGTTCGTTTGTTCGTCCGTCTGTTCTTCTGTCCGTCCGTCTGTCCCGCTTCAGGTTAAAGTTTTTGGTCAAGGTAGTTTTTGATGAAGTTGAAGTCCAATCAACTTGAACCTTAGTACACATGTTCCCTATGATATGATCTTTCTAATTTTAATGCCAAATTAGAGTTTTGACCCCAATTTCACGGTCCACTGAACATAGAAAATGATAGTTTGAGTGGGGCATCCGTGTACTATGGACACATTCTTGTTCAAATAAATAAATTTAGATAACTATTACCTGAAAATGAGGTTTGTAACAAGATCTAATACATTTTATTTAATTCCCAGGCAGTGTTGTAACTGTTTAAATATAATGTTTTGAAGAAGTTTTGATGTAAAGAATTTCCTTAAAAGTGATTAGAAAATACTGGTAATTGAAATACATTTAGGTTAAAGACTGATACTTTGTTTTAGATAAAGATTTCAAAAAATATATAGGCTGCAATCCTTGTAAGAGAAAGTGCAATTTTAAGCATTTCTGGAAAAGTTGTTATAATGATTTTAATTTTTCCTAGAAAATCATTGTAGAACATGACATAATAATAAGATGCAAAATGCTTGTCAACTGCATCAACAACATCAAAAGTCCTAAGCCTCCTATGGATGCCATTTCAGGGAAGCTGTAGTGTAACATGTGAATCACTTCTTTATTGTGTCTTGGTTGTCATCCATGTCACACTTTGTTTATCAATATCTCTCTCAAATTTGCTGGACAGATTTCAACAAAATTTGCACATATTCTTCAGGACATGAAGTTGTGCACCTGCTATTTGAAATTTTAATCTGAACTATTTTTTGGGTTTCCCTTACCAAATCAGTGTGTTTAAAAACTGCAACTCTGACAATCATTGGCAGAAAAGCTAAATTGTCAACAAAATCCATTTCTAAATGATTTTATGTAAATCTTTATATTAAACCAAAGCTTGCACAGGTGTTATGTTATTTTTCTTCAACTGGTCAGATTTACCTAGACTTTAAAAATTTTAATTTTTAAGAAAGTGGGTGTTACATGGGCACTTTTTTCTTTTAGGAATGGCTTGCTACCAAAAATGACAAAAAATTATAAAAAAACGATTTATTATAATAAATGTGATGTGTCAGTATAAGTAATTATGAAATGTTTAGAAACTGTGTCAGACATCTAATCAATCATTAGTCTGGGTCCTGCTAAGCATTACTGCCACAGTGGTCTAGTGGTAACATGCTCAATAAGAGTATGGAAGATTCATGGGTTCGATCCCAGGTTAAGTGAAACCAAAGACTTAAAATCAGTATTTACTGTTTATGCCCGTAGCACACAGAATTTAGGAGTATAGGAGTAAGAAACAAGATTAGTCAGCTTTAGCATCTGAATAATGTGTCTTGAGACTGCTCATTGTGTCATTCTTGTACAAAGCAGGGTTCATATACATGTCACATTAAAATGTTCTCATCCTGACATACATGTAATACTTGCACTTGGCATTAAACATCAATCTATCATCATCATTATGTATTGCAACTCAATAGGAAGCACTGAGAGAATAAGCAAATCAAACTGTCAGCCTCCATTTTTTAACTTAATGCTTGCATAACAATAATGGGATACTTTTAGCAAACATTGTAATAAGTGTTTATTTCGACTAGTCAGAAAGTGAAAACAGTAATTTTTATGACATCCTTGGATATAAAAAACTCAGCGCAGGATGTTATCGCTTTTTTTATGGACATTTGCGCTTTTTATATAGGACATTTGCGCTTTAACAATATTTGCTGCTTATGACTTTCCTCCTTTTTTATCCCGTTTTAGGACCAGCAGGTTATACCTGGCAGAGTTAAAAGTCATAATTTTCTCTATGGTTAAAAGTATAATAGTCATTTCATAAAAGTATAATAGTCATTTCATATCACATTGATATAGTTATATATACCCGGTAACTAAAAGTAAACATTCTAAAGACATAAAAGACACGTTTAGTAATCACTGGTCAGTTTTCGCTTGATATCTAAAGCAGAAGGAATGAACAAATTTAGCTCTTGTAATCTGTCCTGACAGGTATTTGGCCCATATTTCAAATAAATATTCTAGTTTCTCTTTCTCAATTCTTGACTTAGGTGCTTTTTCATCAATATAATGAATTTAAATATAATTAAGTGACTGTTGTTCAATGATGAAAATCCATCGTGACATATAACATTTTTTTTCTTTACTAGTTGGGGCCGAGTGGTCTAAGTGGTTACTACTGTAATCACTAGCCAGTCAACACTCAGGTTGTGAGTTCGAACCCAGCTCGTCGGGTGCACTCAACTCCAATCTTAATTGACTAGGATTGTCAGTTTTCCTATCGAAGGTTGGTGGTTTTCTCTGGGCACTCCGGCTTCCTCCACCAATAAAAACTGGCTGCCACTAAATAGCCCAAAAGCGGTGCTTAAAAGTGGCGTTAAAACACCAAAAATCAAATCCTTTACTAGTCTACAACTTGAAACTCTATGTTTAAGACCGTGTCCATGTGAGCTAGCTTACGACAAATATAAGTTGAATTTATTTACGTTATGATTAAAATTGCTGGTAGACGACTATAGATAAAAAGCGCAAATGTCCGGTCAATTTAATACAGGTGTATCAAAATTTAAAGCGAAATGTCCATAGTGTTTGGAGGGCAAATGTCCTATCGTGTTACAGGTAAAAAAGCGCAAACATCCTGTGCCCAAAAAACTGAACTGGTGCTTTTGATTTGATATTTAAAATGAGTTACCCGATTGTTTTGTTTTGTGTTGGTTTTTTTTTTACAACTAGTAGCCAATATTACAAACAAATTTGGCATGCTATTTTAAAGCAGTAGTTTATGTGTATACCCTCAGACTTATGTATGTAAGTAAGTAAGTAAATAATGTATTTGAAGACGGTTTCAAAGTTGGCAACAATAAAGCAAATCTTCTGTGAGGCCATGAAATAAGAACAAATTTAAACAATTATAATGTAAATAAAATGTATAGAATTTACAAATCTACAGTACATAAAGTCTGTGAAATAAAATGTTTCATTGATTTAATTATTTCTAACATTAAATATGCTATATACTTTTCTTTAAAGGTATCAATATTTTCCAATATTTATTGGACTGGATGATAAAAAGTAAAATAAAAAAAATACCGAACTCCAAAGAAAATTCAAAACTGAAAGTCCCTTATCAAATGGCAAAATCAAAAGCTCAAACACATCAAACTAATGGAAAACAACTGTCATATTCCTGACTTGGTACAGGCATTTCCTTATGTAGAAAATGGTGGATTAAACCTGGTTTTATAGCTGGCTGAACCTCTCACTTGTATGACAGTTGCATAAAATTCCATTATATTGACAACAATGTGTGAACAAAACAAACAGACATAATTGGTAAAAAAGTTAAAAAAAAAAAAGGGGTACAACAGTCAACTTTGTGTTATAATCTTAATCACTATAAAAACAAACAAATATGTCAACAAAGAAAAACAAAATGGCATATAGACAAAGCACATAAGCAAAAATGAAAAACAAGAATACAAAAAATGACCATAGTACAATAAAGCAATGGCGGAATGTATAAGTACCGAGCAACGCCAAAAGGATATTTCCAAAAATGAACTAAACAGTAAAGGTAAATAATAAAGAAAAATAAAAGAATACTATAACACATAATTAAGATGATAAACAACGTCAGTACCTAGAATATATACTTCAAAACCATCATGTATTATTTGTGAAGTTGATACTGAATATTTATCAACAAGGTCTTGGTATCTTCCGATGAATTTTTTTAGAAAAAGGACGATACGTTGGTTCATCAACTTTCTGCTCAGACACTGGTGACGTTTTATAAAGTCTGAGTAGCAGCTGCAAGCTCTTGAATAATGAATGAGTTGGGAAAGAATTCCACACTTTGTTGCCTATATAATGTTATTTGTAGATAAACACTGCAAACCCACCTGTAGTAAGTTCAAATAAAAACTATTAGAAAAAAATCTTGATAAATAATTAATCATTGAGACCAATATTATCCGTCTGTCAGTCCCTCCTTCTTTCAACATGTCATACTAAAATTATAAGTTAACAAGAATATGCTTTTATAAAATTTCTTGAAACTATGGAATATTTGAAGCAGTGGAAAAGACTTTATGGATTTAGGAATTTTTGTTGCAGCATCGTTTCAGAGGATTTGATGTTTCATGAACTTTCCCTGTATCATACATAGAATGTCAAGGTCACATTCCAGGAAATGTATTGAATTTACCACATCTTTGTACTAACTTTTTAGATCATGGTAAAATGTAATTAATATCCATAACTTAAGGTGTGATGACTGACCCAAAATAACACATGGTTTGTCTAGATCACATCCAATAAATTAATGAAATTATGTGAATTCAACATCAAATTTTATATTTAGGTAACTTTAGGCCTTAGGTGAATAGGTGTTGCTTTTAACCATGGGGTTATTCTACTTTTTGCTAGAGTACAAATCTATCTGAAGTACTTGTGCATTTTTGTCGAGCCTGTGAAATTTATGTCCTGAAAGCTAGACATAGCAATCCTAGATTCCATCGTCGGCCATGTCAACATTTACATTCAGTCTGTGGTTAATATTTTTTAAACATCAGTAACT